CCTACCCTGGGGTGCACACAGTGGTGTAGCCCACTGAGCCCCTAGAAAGACCCAGGTCATCCCAGGAAGAGCTGTAGTGGGTGGGTGGGTGGGGTGCCCAGCGGCCCCCAAGATGCAGCCTGGCTGGGCCTGCACAGCTCTGCAAGGGGATGCCACCTGGCTGAAGCAGGATGCTGGGCTCGGGGGGGCTTTTGGCTCCAGGCTTGGCCTCCCTGTGTCCCAGGCACCTTGCAAGCGGGGCGGAGGTGTGCCCGCTGTCCCGGGCACATTGCAAGCGGGGCGGAGTTGTCCCCGCTGCACGGGCCTGGCTGCAGGAGCTCCTGGTTACCGTCCCAGGGAGTTCCCGGGAGCTGTCCCTGCTCCCAGTGTCTGGCCACGTGAGCTGGGCCGCCACAGCTGCCTCAGCCTGCCCGAGCCCCGGCCTTGCCCATCCGCAGTCCCCCTCAAGGGGCTGGGGCAGGCACTGTGTAGGGCCACTGTGCTGCGGGTTCCCGGCCGGCTCAGCTCTGAGCGCTGCCTGCAGCAGCTATTCCCAGAACCCAGGGAATCTCTACTCGCACTGCACCCAGCACGCACGGGCCAAGCAGGCCCGTGAGCTCAGCGTCTTGCCCCCGCCAGGCAGTGTTCCCCTGTGGGCAGAGGGGCTGCGCCCCACCTTCGCAGAGCTGCACAGCTCGGGCCTGGCCCCACCTCTGGTACTGCTGAGCACCCCCACTGCGGCTGAGTATGTGGAGCCCTGAGGCAGCTCCTGCTGCCCCCCACCCCTCCAGCTGCTACCTTCCCAAGGGAGCCCACAGCACCTCCCCCACGTCTGCTCCTCCTCGTGCCTCTCTCTCCTCCCTCCCTCTTCTCTCTCTCTCTTCCCTCTCTTCTCTTTCTTCTTTCTCTTCCCTCTCCTCTCTCTCCCCCATCACAACATGCTTAATAAAAAAAAAATACACAAGAACAAAAGCAGTATATGAAGTTTTATTTATTATTACCAGGTTTAGAATTTTTAGAAAACCTGGTATTTACTGTAAAAAAAAAAAAAAAAAACCAAAACCCCCCCCAACAGTTATGATTATTAATTATATTAATGTGCAGTGCATCCTGTCATGCACCCTCCACCCCAGTTTTGTTTTTCTGGTGTGCCCGCACTCTGGCACCTCACAGGGTATGCATTCAGGTTTTTTTTGGTACTCTGGCCAAAAATGTTGCCTATCCCTGGTTTGCACTGTTTATTTTCCAAAATACAATTGTTTTATATGGCTACCGTAACTGATAAAACAATGTTCTATGATTACTAAATGTTTTGATGTTGTTTTAATACATAGTTTGTTATCTATGTGTATGAAAAAATTACCAGTGGTACTTAAGGCTGTATCATTTTAAATTGGTCGTACTCGGTCTGTCAGAGTTTGGGAACCCTTGTCTTCAACCAACCAAGATTTCCATTACCAAAAATGTTAATTGAAATGGAACAGATGCTGTTAAAAACAGAAAAAAGCCCCCAGTGTTTGATTAAAAATCTCTCCTCTCAACTATACAGAAGTCATCCTTCAAATTCTTGACCACTGTAACATCATCATTTCACCATTTTTCTAGTTAGCAGAGATGCTTGCAGGGCAGATTTGAATTCTGAATATAAAATATAAGTTGAGATAAAAGTGGGTTTCTTAGTTTTGTTTTGATCCAAATTTTAACTAAAAAAAAAAACTTTTGGGGCCCTTATATATATCATGAAGTAAAAAAGGGACACAAGCATTTTTACTTTTGTCTATTGCCTTCAAATGTTTCCCACTGTACTAATATCGGCTGGAATAGATCAATTATTACATAAGTAAGATATTGCACAACTACCCTCTTCTCCTCTGGCTGAATTAATTATATACATGTCAAAATAAAAAAAAAGTAGAACTGTCCCTTTTTTCCTGCTACTGTACTCATCTAACAATAATCCTTCCTAGAGACTCACTTTAAAAATACCTTTAAAAAAATCTAAAAATGAAACTGTATCCAGTCATTTCTCCACTATGAAATTCTTGCACTGCATTTGGCAAATCTATATCATTTGTAATCCATTATTAGTAGTTAATATTTCAATTAAAGTCACTTGCAGCTTATGTCATTACTAGTCTTGACTATCAAATGGATCTGATTCATTCAAACATCCGAGGCAGTTTACATTATTTATAAGCACTAAAATCCGTAATACTTCTTCAATCACCACTGCAATGACTAAAGTTTTGGCGAAGATATTAGGTCTATTCTGTCATGTCAGAATTGCATTAAGCCACCCCTTCCTAGCCCACAGCATATAGGATGTTTCCACGAACAGGGGAAAGTACTCAGGCAATCCTAGAGAGAAACAAGATTTGTTTGGGAATATTTTTTATTGAACTAACTTTATAATTTCCTTTTTAAAGTGGTCACTTTCTTTCATGTAATGGAGTTAAACAAAAGTACTTGTAATAATGGTATTAATGTTAGTTAGTGTCTGGATCTTTCCAGACTAAAGGAGGGCAATTTGTCCCACAAGCTTGTCTAACATCTCTCTCAGCTACGAAGTTGATCCAATAAAAGATAGAGCTGACCAAGTCTTGCTTTTTGCATATTCCCCAAACCAACATAACTACAAAACCAGTATATTACTACTGAAAATCTCTGACTGATTCTTCAGATCACAGGCAGGAAGGCATAACTTAGAACAGCCTTATAGTCTTGTCCTAGTCCTTGACATAACTTACATCACTCTATAGAGCTGTAAGGTTCTAAGTCATGCCTTAGAACAGCCCCTACACACAGTTCCAAATTATGCCAGTGGGAAAAATAATACACAGACAACCCCTGGGGGCGTGGGGGGAGAAAGGGAAGGAGGTGCCTCTTTCTCTGCCCTACCTGGACCTAATATGACAGTTAAGAGGTGAGGATTTAGTCCTATATCTGCAGGAGACTAAGATCAAGGTTCACCATTTCATTATCTGAAAACAGAATACATAGGACACTTCAGTTCAAGACTACTTTACCATTCCTGGACTTCAGATCTCTGTGTATTACTTTGACTGGAGCTTCCATATGTAAATAGTGCATTCCTACACAAAAATGAAAGAAAATTCTTAAATTTGGGTGGTTTAATAAGATTTCTGTGAGATTTTTTTTTAAGGTGCTAGACTGCCCCAGCCCTTCTGTGAGAAGGTCTATGCTCCCTCCCCCATCTTTAGTGACTGGTGCCCTGCACCTGCCCCAACTACTCCAGCAATGCCTGCTTCTAAAGACTGTTGTTACTGTTGCCTGTCCTTATCCCCCAGTAGCCTCTGTGCCCACACTCCTAGCAGCAGACTCTGCTGCAGGCAAGGGGACATGGAGTTGGAACCATGCTTTCCAGCTCAGATCATCCCTTTCACTCCTCCTACACTCCTAGGAGGGACTTTGGGGGTGGCTGCCAGCATGTGAGATGCTGCAGGAGCAGCCTCAGTGGCAGGGGCCATCCTTAATCCCTCAGATACAGACTGGAGGTGGGAAGGGGCAGACAGTGGGAAGAGCAGGGTATGTCAGGGTTAGGTTCTTCCCTGTCACTCATCCTTAGCTCCTGCTAGAACGGGGCTTCTTAACCTTTTTAGCCTCATAGCAACCGTCCATTGTTAAGGACAGACTTTACACAGAAACCAGTTTAAGTGATCAGAAACTGGTTTAAACCTGTAACAGAACAGATGGTCAGTACACATAAACCAGCTTCCCTCCCCATCCCTTCTGCCTTACAAACACCTCTCAGTATTACTTAGCAGACGACATGCTGGCTACAGCCCATGCTGTGGCAGACAGGACAAAGGAAGAATCAACAGGTAGCTGGTAACATCCCTCTGTTGTTTTCTTAATGAGGTGATAAACACTGAGCTGGGGTGATAAACACTGTGTTATCAATTTCCTGCTGGAATTGATAACATAGTGGTCAGAAGGGGTACAACCCCTCCCTAATCAAAGCTTCCTTCCTGGGCCTGGCCACACCCCGCTTAGTTAAGCCCTGTACAAGGGAACGGAGGGCTGCTCTAGCACCCCCAGCTTCTAGCCTGAGTCACTGCAGGCATGTGCCTGCATGTCTGGGATGTCTGTACAGTTACAGCGTGATTTAGCTTAGCCAGGTTAAACTAACAGGAAAAGATTAAATCAATTCAGGCTAAGGCTTTTTGAATGTCTGTCTCTAGCCCATATCATTCCTCAATTTAGATTCTACTTCAGTAATTCTGCACTGGGGCGCCATGACATTCAGAAAAGTTATTGGGGGTGCCTTGACTGTAATTGCTAAAAAGATTGTAAACCACTGCACTAAATGAGGCAGGGTTATAGTTGGAGTGGTTTTGATTCACCTGAATCATTCTCATCTTGTTTACACGTAACAATGAGGATGTAAAAGCTGCTGCCCTTTTGAAATGTTCCTGTTTTGAAACAGCTCCAAATATATGTGGCATACCCTCACTCTGTGGATGCAGGTGTGTGTAGGGGTATGTGTGTCAGCATGCGGAGTCAAAGAGTAGTAGTTAACAGTAACTTCTCTGTGAGGGCAAACCCTTAACTTTGCAGAGTGTCCCCATGCAGATAAGACTGGTGCTGGATATTGACATCTGTAAGCATTGTACCTATATACAATATGCCTGTCCTGTGAAAAATATTTGCTTGCGACTCAGAGCCAAAATACATACAAAACTGACAGAGAGGAGACCTTCACTTCCATTTCGAAAATATACCATCAAAAGAGAATAATTAGGAAAATGACCATTATCCCTTCCTTCCTCTAAAACAGATTTTCTAACAGCATCTTCAGTGCTGACATCCATGATGGTTTTCTTCATTTCAAAAGAAGGGTTTCAACACCACACTTTAAAGATTGTGCAGAATTACTGTTAGTCATCCGTCTCTCTTACCTTTAGCTATATCAGTTGCCCAGGTCATGATGTGATCCATATCCATCTCTTCGCTTTTGTTGCTATTAATGTAATCAAACAATGAACCAGCAGAAGCATATTCTATTAAAAAATATACATAATACATTTTAAAACATTGCTTCTAAATCAAAAGCTATGATATACCACCAGTTTCCTCAATCCATTATTTCCTGATAAACAGAATCAGTCTTTCCTCTCATAAGATTTTCCATTAGACAGTATGGGTTCAATAGTTAACAGGCGTTGTTAAACATGAGTTATTGAAGATAGGTAATTTATTCTGAATTATCCTGAGGCACACAAATACTCCTCATAAGGAAATGAAAGTAAATTTATATACAACAATAGACTTAAAAATAACAGACAGGAATTCAGGTAAGCAACTTCCTACTCAAAAGATCTATTCCATTTGTGTAGCTAGAGATACACCCATTGACTAGTAACTAAAATAATTTTTATTGTTCTGAGGTCCTCTTATTCCTGAGAAGTCAACACAACTAAGAAAGCAAGGCAGATTATATTATTTCCTGTTCAGTATCAACAGAATTGTTTACTAAAGTAAGATCTGCCACTTTTGTGCAAAACCAGGGAAGGGCTGCACAAGGATAGTGAAAGGGCTGGTATGGTCTGCAGGTCCTTTGTGGTTGGTGACTGTACATGTAAAGGAAGAAATCTAGGTGGTTTCTTAAGCTACAGATACCATTTTTGTCACAGGATCAGCTGTGCCAGGATGTGATCAGCATAGCTGATCCAACTGATTGGCAGGGACAAATGTTGCCCAAGGCCATTATTCCACAGGAACGGGTCCCTGCTGTTCCCAAAGTTTCAGGGGGCCCATCCTGTCTGTCTTCAGCTCAGGGGCCTGGGGTTCATCAGATGTCTGACTTCAACCCATGGAACTCCATGGGGTTCCCTTGCTCTGCAGTGTGAAATGTGCACTCCAGAATCTCCTGCCCAAATTGGCTAGATAGAATGGGTAGCCCCAGGCTGTGGGAGAAGCACCATAAGCAATCAGACATCCTTCCTGATAAGACATGATAAACTGTTACCAGGAATCATAGTGCAAACATTTTTGGGCACTTGGAGTATGACAAGGGGCAAGGACGTCTGTTCTCTCACAACCTGCACCCCATTAACATTTTTATGGTGACACAAGGGCGACATCTGTTTGCAACCCTAGGCCACATCCACATAAGCCTCGAGCCAGTAGCTTTATTTGGGGTCGCGGGGGCTTCCTGGGGCTCCAGCAGCAGCAATCCTGCTGCTCTGAGTCTGGCTGGCAGTCAGAGCCGGCCAGGCTCCAGTTTTGGGTGGCATGCACTCATGCCTCGCATGCACCGCTCCACTATTTTTTTGTGCAAGTTTTTTTACCCCAGGATCTCCTGAGGTCAGTAACACATGGAGACCAGCTGAATGTGCTGTATGTGGTAAACATGCCTGTGGCACCAAATACCACACAGTCCTGCTTGTCTGGACATGGCCCTAGAGCCCTCATTGAGGCTACAGGGCTGAAAGTTAGAAACTCAAATTTCTTTCTTATCAACAGTGCATATTTGATTTTAATGATGAAGACAAACTTTGAATATTAAAGTACCATTTTCACAGTAATTTTTTACTATTTTAAATTATAATGAAGTTATACAGACGAGGAGATTTTTTGTTCTTAATGAAAGTAGGAATTCATCAAACGGACTTTGATAGTGCCCAATACTACAGTGAAAAGTTCACATTTCCTTTTACAATGCTACACTGTACATAGTGGACCAAGAAGCATTCCATTTTAAAATATGATCTACTTTAATTATCACCTTAAAATAAATTAGTGCAAGACATCGGAATCTAACCTGAAACTGTGGGGATTTTGAGGAGAAAGAGGAGGATCAAATGGATCAATTTGTTGCTCTGCTCCTCCTTGTAAATTAGAAATTAGAAGACAGTACAAATTGGATTTTTTTAATGGAAAAATGATTAAAAACCCCCTCAACCTCCTGGTCTAACCCTGAAGTACCATATCCTATATTTTTACCCACTAAGAGTTACAATCAGTGTGAGAAAGGGAGGCTGTAATGTCAGGGACCGAGTTCTGCCTCCCTGATACTGGTGTAATTGTGCCTGTTCTTCCCAATGGTATAAATTAGCATAATGTCCCCTAAACTGCTCCAATTTATACCCAATGGCTATGACCTCTCTGGGACTTAACCAGTTGTGAACTGGTATTTCACAGACATTCTACCCTACCCCACTTTTACCAGCTAAGAGTTCATCTACATCAGGGAATTATCAGATGGTAAATTAAATTCGAGTGATACCAGCAGCATATGGTAGTCAGAACCCAGGCTTATAAATACAAGTCTGAGGGAATATGAAATCAGTCAGCAATGCTAAGCCATGCAATAGGTGCTTAAAATAGAAGTTCTCTCTGGTCCATTTTCTACAGTGATCTTAGAATGCCATATATGCATGCGTGATGGAAAAGAACTTTGCTCAGGAATACGTTTTAGAAGCAGTAGCAAGCACAACTAGTTTAAGACACTGCATGCTAGCCTAGCCCTCACTGTACACAGATTGGCAAGATTTTATTCTCTGAAGTCTAGCTGCACCACTTACAAAATAAAAATAAAATAAAGAGCCATGTTTATGGTCATGTCGGCATATCCCAAGTGGCAATTACGAATGAACTGGTTCTCAGGCAATCAGAGATACAAAGGAAAGAAAATGCACTAATTTCCTTTTTATAATTAGAGGTATTTATCAAAGTAGTTAAACTAATATTTTCACTTTCTTTATATTTTGGGATAATCAATATAATATTATAAACATTATAGTTATGTTGCACATAGATGAACACTGTTGCTTATTTAGTAGTCCTTACTTTTATTTCTAAAATACAATATCAAATATCTGGAAGCCTACTATCATCATCAGTAGACTAATATTAGAAAACAAATTGCACAAATGAAAAGTATAAGAGAACGTTGAGTCTTAGTGGTATAGAGTCTGGTCAGGGAATGAATGGATCAACAATCTTAAACCCAACAACCTTTCACACCACAATAACATTTAGTGTAAACTTGCAAATTCTACTCTGAAAGGGACAGCAGTTGTCCACAGTCTTCCAGAGTGCCAGATCAGTTCTGTACTACTCCAGCAGTGTAAAGAAGTCCTAAAGTTGATATATCCAGCTACTGCTTTACTCCCTGGTTTAGCAGAATCCTGATGTGACACGTACCCAACATGGATGTTAGCGTAATGGACATACAGGAAACCCTCGGTATTCGCAGGTTCAGCATTCGCAGTTTCAAATATTTGTGAATGCTGAACCCGCATTTTAAATACACTTTAACAAACACTACTTGGGAGCTCCGCGTTTGCTGCCATCGGGTTCCCGCCACCGCCATGCACTGCATTCATGAATGCAGTGCCCTATTCGTGGATGTCACCATTCGTGGGGATCATGGGAACGTACCCCCGCGAATGGCGAGGGTTACCTGTAGCTGTTACATTCTTCACTTGGTTGATCCCTAGAGAGAGGTTACAGGCTATTGGTGTAAACTAGAACAGTTTTTATGTTTATTCTAAATTTCTGGCAGGAATAGGCCGATACCCCAAAGACTAGGAAGATGCAAATACTAGCTTAGAGCCACTCTTGCGTCATCCCCTCCAAACATTCATTGCATGCTCTCAGGTGGTCTGCAGAAATTGGCCCAGTATATCTACCAATACATTCATTTATGAGGTGCCTATCACCTTGGTATTTTAGATCATTCCATTACCAGCTGAAATAAAACATAAATACTTCATCTTTGCCATTTAAGAGTAGGTTGGTCAAAAAAGAAGTAGTATGTTTTATATTTTCCTTAGTGAACAGAGCAGCAAATTACTATAATTCAATTTTCAATAGTATGAGACTGGAAAAGTTAATGTAGAAAGAGGAGCAAATAAAGACAATTTACCCATAATACTGTCTTGTTTAAAGAGGACCAGCAGCCTTCACCTAACTCAGTTATTATAGCCACTTTTATATCTACACATTCATATACATAAGTTCCTCGCCTCCCCAAACTTGGCTTGTTCTGTACATACCACGTTTCAGACAAGAACCTATCTAGCTCATCGAAATTTTAGCAGAAAGTCTCTGGCAGCTCTCTGTTTTAGCCGAGTAATTCAAAGCTACATAACTTATTATTTAATTCTAAGAGTTTTGTAGCTAACTGTAGACATGCAAAAATGAAATGATACCCCATTTACTGAAGCTGTACCCAGAAGTGTATATGTGGGAGACACTGCTAATATAAAATAAATCATCAGGTAAGAAATGTCAATAATGCAGTCCAGCATCTCCCACAAGTCTAAGAAAGAGAGATAACTTGGTAACCGACTTAAATATAGCAACAATGACCATGAAACCATCATGCTCACTGTCTGTCTCAAGGCAGACAAATCTGATAGCAGGATTGAAGTCTTGGACTTTTGAAAATTTAAATTTCAACAAGCTCAGGTCACTGGTAGGGGAAGTGCTGCAGGACCAGAAACTGAACATGAAAGGTGTGCATGAAGAAATGTTGTTCCTTAATGACACGATCCTTGAAGCACAAAGGAAGTCCATTCCCATGTGGAGAAAAGGTAACAGAAGGGCTGGGAAGCTCTCTTGGCTAAACAGGGAAATCACATTCCTCTTAAGAAAGAGGCTTATAAACAATGGAGGCTCAGGGCAGGCCCCATGGAGGACTACACAATAACGGCCCGCACTTGTAAGGAACAGATCAGAAAGGCTAAAGCGGTGACTGAACTCAAATTAGCAAATGGGAATCAAAGACAACAAGACGTCCATCTTTAGGTACATTGGAAACAGGAGGAAAAAACATGGGAGTGTGAGGCCATTGCTCAACAGCTCAGGACGGCACTCCGGAGAACACTGAACTTCCGAATGACAACTTTGCCTCAGTATTTCACCGGGTCAAGGGGAAAATCATGCCAAGTAGGGTGCAAAATGAGCAGGGTATGAATGACTGCCTTCCTACTATTGCTGTAGAATTGGTGTGTGATCAATTAAAAAAAATTAGACATATATAAATCAGCAGGACTGGATGAACTTCATCCGAGAGTGCTGAAAGAACTGGCCAAAGTCACTACAGAACCCCTGGTGAAACTTCCAAAATTCATGGTGCTCTGGAGAGGTCCCTGAGGACCGGAAAAGGGCCACTGTTGTGCCCATCCAAGAAGGACAGGAGGCAGGACCCAGGTAACTATAGGCCAATTAGCCTAGATTCTACGCTAGGGAAAATCCTGGAAAAATTTCATCAAGGAGTCTATCTGCGATAAGCTTGCAAAAGGTAGGATTCTGAACAACAGCCAGCATGGCTTTGTCATGAGCAGGTCTTGCCTTATCATCTCCTTGCCTTGCCTTACCATCTCCTTTTAAAACCAGGTAACTCGCCACCTAGGCAAGAGAGAGGAGGTCGACACCGTATACCTTGACTTCCAAAACGCCTTTGATCTGGCATCTCACAATGTCCTCGCGAGAAAATTGGAGGATTGTGGGCTTGACTCCGAGACAGCCAGATGGGTAGGAAACTGACTGCAGGGAGAGTTCTAATGAACAGATCTGTGTCATCTTGGCAGGAAGTGAACAGTAGTGTCCCACAGGGGTTGGTGGTTGGTCCAGTGCAGGCAGTCCTTGACTTACGGCATTTCGATTTACGGCGATTCACTATTTACACCCATGTTATTACTTACGACGCTGGATCCTCGCACTTACGCGCTACAGGGAAATTTACAATAAGAAAAAGAGGGCAGCAAAACAAACATCCCTGGATCAGTTTCTCAAAAAGCCATCAAGTGGCCCTAAGTCTCCCCAAAATCTCCCCAAAGAAGCCCTTCTGAATTCCATGACCCTGATGAAGGTTTTCCTTCACCTTCTGATTAAATAAAATGTTATGTGATTAGTTACCTAATTACATTACTCTGTTTAATTGATTTATATACAGTACACTTTGGAAAACTTTGTACTGTACAGTGTATATCATTTATAATTGATTAAATAGTTGATTTCAATATGGTGTTTATGGTCATTTCTATAAAAAGTTGGGCATCAGGCCCTTGACCAGGAATGTAACCCCCTATTATAACATTGTTTTTATGGGAAAATCTGATTTGACTTGCATCGTTTCGACATACAGCGCCTTTTCCAGGAATGTAACCCACCGTAAGTGCAAGGACTGCCCATACTTTTCAGCATCTTTATCAATTATTTGGATGTGGGGGTGAAGAGTTTACTGTCCAAGTTTGCGGATAACACCAAGTTTTGGGGGAACGTGGTCACGCTTGAAGATAAGCTACAGATACAGGTGGACCCAGACAGGCTAGCAAGTTGAGTAGATCGGAACCAGATCGGAACAATGTCAAGAAATATAAAGTGCTCTACCTGGGGACGAACAACCCCCTGCACGCCTACAGGCTTGGTGGTGCCAAACTGACCAGCACCACGAATAAAAGGGTCCTGGAGGTTATAATAGATCACAGTAGAAATATGAGCCAGCAGTGCAACTCTAGTCAGCAGAGCAAGTAATAAATTGGCATGCATCAATCAATGCATCTCCAGCAAAACCAAGAAAGTGATTCTTCTGCTCTACTCAGCACTGGTGAGACTGCAGTTAGAGTACTGCATCCAGTTCTGGGCACCACACTTTAACAAGGACATAGACAAGCTTGAGAGAGTCCAGAGAAGAGCCACCCGTATGATCAGAGACCTGCATGCCAAGCCATACGAGGAAAGGCTGAGGGACCTGGGACTCTTCAGCCTGAAAAAGAGAAGGCTGAGAGGGGACTTGGTAGCAGCTTACTGCTACATTAGGGCTTGGTGAACAGCTGTTCACCAGGGCAGCCTTGGGGAAAACCAGGACTAATGGCCATAAACTCCAGGAAGACCGTTTCACACTCAACATTCGGAAAAACTTCTTCACAGTCAGGCTGTCCAGTCTGTGGAATAAGCTCCCTCCAGAGGTGGTGCAATTACCTACTCTGGAAATCTTCAAGAGGAGACTAGACAGTCACGTTGCTGGGGTTACTTGACTGGACCCAATGATCTTCTGAGGTCCATTCCAGTCTTACAATCTATGAATCCATGAAAGGCATGGGCAGTTTCACCCTTTAACACTAGTGGTAAAGCCCTGGAAAAAGAGTTCTAACTGCAGCTCCAGACTAACTGTTCTGCGCCATCCTGAAACTCCATGCCAAGAATTCTGTTTGTAAGGCACTATTTATGCCTGACATCTGACATGTTATAGTGCTTGGCTGAAATCCCTTGTCAGCACTCCTGCAGAAAACCCAGCATAGCTCTACCATCCAGGTCCTTGATATTTCTTGTTTCCTTGGCACCATGAGCTAAACTGTAATCCAATGGAAGAACAGGCCTTTAAGGTTAAAAATCATTTGAAGTATAGGACAGTACAAATTACTCTGCCTGGAGAATTGGACCCTTGTGAAGTATGTATGGTCTCACTGTTTATGCAGTGGAATTCCAACACCAACTTTCCCAGTTCCAAAAATCAGGTGTCATTGGCCAGTGCGGAACCTGTCCCCAGTGCTTGTGCTTATCTTTTGTATCATCTTCCTGAGAAGTGGAAGCAGTGGGAACATGTAAGGGAAGCTCTTCTACAACCTGCAACCTGCATGACCATTTGTTCTCCATGACAAAGTCTGAGTCTTTGAAAGCAGCTCTCTATTCATCAGACTGGCAGATAGATCAGCTGCTGGAATACTGACCATCTGTGAGACCTGGTTGAACACTTCATGATTCAGATATCATTATGTATTGCTGACTGCATGTTTGCTTATCTTGTGGACCTTACAGGTTAGTTCTCTTTTCTCTTTTGAAAGAAGCCAGATTCTTCTTCTGCCCATTCCATTATTTCAAACACTTTCAAGTGAAGACTGAGCTGCACGTTCTCCTTTGGTATGCCACTAGGATACCACACATGTTGTCCTACTAGACCAAGAAACAGCTATCACTCAGGTTCCTTTGGAATCTTCAAATAAAGAGCTTCACCCCTCTTTGCTCCAAGACACTGATGCTCTTAATCCTGTCTATGAAGCAGCATAAGCCCTGTGCCATTCTATATCTCAGTTGTGCTACTTTCCCCCTTAAATTGGCATTTACTCTGATGATCTAAGGGGTCTAAAAGACCCCCACTGGACACTGCTGAGGACTATGTCCCTAGGAAGCTACTGTAGACATTAAATAGTCAGATAGAACCAGGGAGGCACAATTCTCGCTACAAAGCAGGCTGCACTACTACTCCAACCTGCCTCCAGAATTAAAGACAGGAAGAGAATGAGACAGACATCTCCACTGTGGGAGAAGATGGGCGACAAAAATAAAATAAGCTCAGGACAAAGCTTTCAGAGCTAGAACAAGATGGGCAGATACCCACACTACATCTATAGGGCTGTCAAGAAATGTAGCTCATAGTTTGTAAAAATAAGTGTTTTTCTTGTCTTTTCCATACTACCTTTGAAATATTAAACCTATTACAAATTCATTGGTGATGAAAGCTGCCTACAAATGATGTAATTACGTTGGGGCAGGTGTTGTAAATTAATGATATACAAACAAAAGCAAGGAATGTCCAAGATTTGAGAAATAAGATGCTATTGCATAAGGTCTGCATGACAGAAAAAAATAATTCAAACTGAGTACACACTATGAAATGCATTTATGCAAAACAACAACAGAATGAAGTTTAAAAAAAATTCCATTTGAGAAGTTCTAAGTTCATGCATTAGGAAGTGTTCCCTGTCCCATAACTCATTCCATGCAGGTTCAAGCAAGAAAATTTTGTAGCCAGAAATACATCTATATAGCATTTGAGTGATGTAATTGATACAGGGAGAAACAGAAACACAATCCTACTTATATCATTATAATTTATTATATTTAGATATTACAAGTCAAAAGGGCAATAAAATTAAAATAGCAAAACATACAGTTCAGCATTAAAGTTAATATCCAAGTACATTAGATGTTTTATACTATCAAGAAAAGAGTTAATAGAAGAGTTCTCACCTGTAACAATGCCATAATTAGGAGGTTCAAGAATAGCTCCATAAAACTGAATGATGTTTTTGTGACTGAGCACACTGAGTATTTCTGCCTGTTTAAAAACCAAGGAAAAACGTTAGAAAATCATAGATAAGCATATTTATTTTAATAACATAAATAAGACCCTCCATACAACCACATTTATGTCCATATTGAAATCCAAGGTGATGTCCCCTGTACCCTGCGCCTCCTACCCCTCCACCCCCACCCCAACATCATGGGGAAAAAAGCCTCATCTTAGATTTGAATACCAGCCTGGGGCAGGTGGTGGTTTTGTTTCTGCTTTGGCCCCAGGCTCAGGTTGTCTGTCCAGCAGGGAAGGGGGTGAGCATTGGAGAGCCTGTGCCACCCACCCCCTGCCAGCCTGCACCCTCCCTTTGCTTTGGCTTTAACCCCTGCACCTCAGCTTGGCTTGGAGATGTTGCCCCTGCTTCTTCCTGGCTGGGCAGAGTGGAGCCAGGCTGGGGCCACCACTGCTGCTGATCGTCTTAGAATCGGAACAAAACAGAGCAGCAGAAGTGGTGGGGCTAGGGTGCATAGAGTTGGATAAGGGAGCAGGCATAAGCAGCTGGCAGGCAGCAGGGATTAGACACAGGCACAAGGGAAGGCTAGGGGAAGTGGCAGATGGCAGGTGGGAGCAAGAGCTGAGGTGCCAGGCACAAGGACAGGGGTTGGAGTGGCACACAATGTAGGGGCAGGCACAGGCATTGTGGGGCAAGGAGAAAGGGACATGCAGCACAGGGGAGCCGAGAGTAGGGAAGCAGGCAAGGGGGTGCAGGGAATAGGGGGCAGGCAGTCAGGGGGGCACAGGGGAGCAAGGGATGTGAGGGGCATGGGGCAGGCAGCAAAGGGGGAGGGGGTCAGGTGGCAAGGGGGCAACAAAGCATGGCAGACAGGGACTTGGGTGACAAGCACAGGCATTGGAGGAGAAGGGGCAGGGGGCAAGGGACAGGGGTCTGACCCCTTGCCCCCCACCACTGCTTTCCCCACCACAGCAGTGGAGGAACAAATGAAGGTTATCGTCCACTAATTAGATTCTATCTATGGAAAATTATAAATATGTTATAATTATTTTTATGTTATAATTTTCCATAGAAAGAAACTAATTATTGGGGGGTGTGGAAGGAATTATTTTAAATTCAGAGTTGTCTTGGGTCCAGGTAAATATGGTATCAATCAATCTAGAAGGAAATGTCAACATGGAGTATTCTCCCTAGGAAACCAACGGGTTGCAAAATTCTGTAGAGTGTAGGGACATAGGGTGTTTCATTTTACTAAACATTAGTAAATTTAGTAACAGAATAGTTTAATAAACATGAAAAGATTTTAAGTGTCATTGATTTCCACATACATATGGAGCTGAAAATGTAAGTTTATAGCATGCGAGCACAGATATATACATTATGAATGATTTCATAAAATCATGCCTTCTGTGAAATATCAGATTAACTTCTTGTTTTGTGCTAACTTGATCAGTCACAAGCGTTTGGAAAAGAAGTCACAATCAATAAAGCAGTCAACTCCATTTAAAAGAAATACATTTTAAAAAAGAATGTAGGATCATGATCCTTTTAACTTGTCAAACATTGATACAGCAGATAGAACCACTGTATAGCACACACGCAAGCCCAAGACATACTAACCTAATGGCTAAATTTTTTACTGGCTGCCCTGTTTGGTGTACACACACACACACACACACACACACACACACACACACACACACACTATATAGATACCGTTGTTATTTGCATACAAAATGAATATTTCCCCCTTTTAACATAGGGGGGAAGGCCCCTTGTCTTTGATTCAAGTATGACCTGGGGGGCAGCAGCTCCTGTAGCTCTGGAAGAGCACAAGAAGGAAAGGGCATGTGGTGCTGGGGCAAGCTGCTTGATCAACTGACCCTTCACCCCTACCACCACCACTGGTCTTAGGGACTGGATTCATCCATATATGTGAAAGGGAATTACATTTTTACCCATCTAAGAAACTAATACTTAAACGCTACCTATCGGGAAATCAAGTCTATGTCTGAAACTTAACTATATGAAGAAAGACAGAAGGTACATCAGTTCATAAATGCAAGTTTCTCGATTCGCATCCAAGCCAAATAGAGCTATTTAAGTTAACTGAGTATCATAAAAAACAGTGATTATTCCAATAGCATGGTATAGAAATAAAAGTAAGTGCCTTCTTGTGTGGCCATACGCAAATTTACATCCTGAGACATACAGTGAAGCTATAACTAAAAGACCACTATGTGTGCTTCATTTTCATGCATGGGATACCAATATTTAGCACCTGTCAAAAGTCTCATGCTCAGTTTGTCCTGGGTCACTTGGTTTGAGGTCCCAACTAAAAAAAGAAGCAGGTGCTTTGTACTTTTGGGTTCAATTCCTGGAACTACCAACAGGTAAGAGGACTGCTCACACTGCATGAATGGTAGCATTATTATTACTGCAATACCAGTTGCAGGATCAAGGCTTAAATGTGCATCTTAAAGTGCCATAATGGACAACAGGAACATAGAATTGGCAGTATCATAAAGTGAAGTTCACTGCTATTACAGATCATCAGCTACAAGATTGTATTCTTTGCATCAGGTACCAAAAATAATTATTCTACACCAGAGGTTAGTAACCTCCAACCCACAGGCCACATCCAGCCCACATATAAGAGGCTTTGCTGACATCTGGTGGCAGGGGGGTTTCAGCTCTGGGTGCCTTCCCATGCTGCCATGGGGAGATGCACTAGCCGCAGAAGAGTTCTAGCCCCCATCTGGCCACCTGCCACTAACCTGAGGTGGCTCATTCTGGCTCACCAGAAAAGGTTCTCTACTGCAGTTCTACACTACTACTTTATTTTCAGTGTAGTAACATTTGCCTTTGTCACATTTAGTCAGTATAAGGCATTAATGTACCAGTTGCATTTAAAACATTTTATTTTTGATCTTACACAGATGTTCATATCTCTTAATGAAGATTTAACAGATGCCAGAGTGAGCTGGTATATAAAAATGGAGAAAGCAGCTATTAATTGTCCATAAAATGTCTCAAATCAGGAGCTGATAAAAAAAATCCCCCTAAGGGAAATAATGTCTAAAGAGAATCTTTTCTGAACATCTTTGAAATCATTCTGCTATTCTTAGAGCTGGAGAATCTATGTAGTTTCTTTCATGTTTTGCAATTTTTCATGGCTGCCAAGCAATAGTAGATCACACTAGCCAATTTCGCAACACTCATTCCTTGTAGCGAGAACCAAGCAAATGGCCGGTCATTCTTACCCATCCATCTTATCCAAAATTTCTTTTTGAATATCCATTTTGAATTGGATATGCTACACATAAGTGAAAGCTGGTGAAATTTATGTAGCAAATACAGCAATTGATAACTAAAGGACAGACTTTCAAAGCTATTTAGCTGCCTAAGGATGCATATAGAAACCTAGTAGGATTTTCAAAAACACTTACATTCTTAACCCTCATTTATGTCACTAAGAGTAGGATACCTAGATGCTTTGGGAGATCCCAATGGTTGCTTATCTATCTTTAGAAGCCTAAAAGACAATTGAAAATCCAGCCCAGCCCAGTTTCTCTCTGGAAAGTCAGTTTACTTATTTTATTCAACTTGCATGAGTGTCAGGTTTTTAGCAAAATACCTAGGTGATATGTATGCAAGGAGCTTTGCAAGGATTCTTTCATCCTATTTTTTTTTTAATGAAAAGAGAGAGAGATTAATTTTTTCACAATTACTATGAATTATGAATAACTCAAATTACTTCAGAGGAAGTTACTGGGGTGTAGGTTTGTAGCCGTGTTGGTCTAAGGACATAGGCAGACAAGGTTCTTTGCATAAATCTGATATCTTTTATTAGACCAACTCAAATAGTTGGAAAAATTCTTCTTAGCAAGCTTTTGGGTATAAATACCCTTCATCAGGCTCAGGAAGCATTTGCAGTTAGTGTGTGCTTTTCCTGGATGGAATGAATAGTAAAGAAGCCAGAGGCTGGTATGCATGCAAGACAGGCAGTCAGTGAAGATGTAAAAAGAGGTGTCAGTAGGTGAGAGACATGATGGGGTGGGGAGGGGAGGGAATTAAAGCAGTTGGTAAATGGTGGAGATGCACATGGGGAGTCAAATGTTAGGCAGGTTATAATGTCACACATCCAATATCTATATTTAGTCCTGGATACAAAAAAAAAAAAAATCACAAAAACTCCTGTGACTTGGAGCCCCATGCATCCCAGTTGAAGGCCTCCAAGCTGTGGGGGTGTCCCATGCACCCCTGGGTCTAGAGCAGTCCTTCTCAAACTATCTGATGTGGAAGACAGGCAATTTTTTTTTCAGTGAGCCAGGGCCCGCTACCCAGTTCAGCTGGTGGCAGTAACTGTGTGTAACAGCGCTACACAACTGCGCGACCGGCTGTTTCTTTCTCTTTCCTCACCTCGCACGACGTGACGTCACCTGGAGTGTTGGAACGTACAAACTGTGGCACCATGACATATCAATGTTATGCTTCTGAAAATATATTTCTTCCTTTCCTGGCAACTCGCTGAGGACCAGCGACCAGCAGCTCACGGACCGGCACCAGTCCGCAGACCACCACTTTGAGAAGCACTGGTCTAGTGGATAGCTGCTGCGGCCATCTCCCAACCCCGAGGGTGCAGGAAAACCCCTGGGGCAGAGGATTATTGCAGGGTGATCCCCCCACCCATTCCAGGGGTGTGGGGAGCCCCTGGGGGCAGAGGATCACATGATCCTCTAGCCCTGGGTGTTTCAGATACTGCAGCTATGATCTCCAGGGCCTAGGGGTTACCCACCCCCACAAGCCCTGGGGATCACAGCTCCCATGATTCTCAGGGCTCAGAAGTGCAAGAAACCCCTGGAGCCTGGGTACTGCAGCTACCAGGATCTCTTGAGGGTTTTCTACTGGGCATGGTACACACCTGCTACATATGCAAATTAAAGTTGAATAGCAACCAGCTAAAAAGTTACACACATTTTCAAGGTCTAACTTTATAGCTGGTTGGAGTTTTTTATTGCTGCTTTGC